TTCAGGAAGCGAGCTATCTCTGTATCACTATGTCGCCCCTTCAAAGTATCAATGACAGCGTGCCTTTTCATTTGCTGAGTCAACTTAATGACATTATTATAAAAAGAGACGTTAGAAGACAGAGCTTTTGAAAGACGTGTCCTAAAAACTAATGACACAGCATATATATATATATATATATATATATATATATATATATATAGAGAGAGAGAGAGAGAGAGAGATAGATAGATAGATAGATAGATAGATAGATAGATATGGTACATGGGGCAGGGGAAAAGTACAAGAATTATGATCCAAGCTTTATGATGATTTCAAGTCGAAAGCTTGGAGCATATTTCGCAGACATTTATTCCGAAACCAACTTCAAACAATTTCTGACGGTATTTCCTCCTTGACGGACAAGCATTATTCGTAACTTGGAAAAGTCGATCATTAAATTTAATCGACACAAAGTGTCTGTCGTTTTTAATAGTGTTTGCCTTGATTTTTGACAGGGAGCATTATCCTGCATAAAAATGAGCTTGCACCATTTCAACAGAAGGGAGCAAACAAGACTGTAAAATTCTCTTGCACTGCTCGCTCCTGAGGGTCAATAGGTTTTAAGAAACCAGTTCCATGAAAGGAAAAGCATCCCTAGAACATTATACTGAACGGATGCTTGACAGTACTTACTGCTAAATTCAAAGAGCTTTCAAAGCTTCTTCTTTGGATTTTAGATCGCTTATCCTTTGAATTTAGTTCATCTTTCGTTTCATCGGAGAAGAGAACAGTTAGTAAAAAAATCAGGTTAATCACTTTTATCGAACGGCACTGTATTTTGAATAACATGAGAACATGGTTTTAAACGTTTCCTCATAATGTTTTAACATTTTTGTAGTCAAGTAGATTGGTCTATTCTGATATAAGGCTGTTCTTATTGATGATCACCAATAAACACATTTTCCTGATTTTCAATACATTTCTTCAGCAGAATCTCTCTATTCTTATTTGCAATGATTTATTTTATACGAAACATTAGCAATACAAATACATTAAACATAATCAAACGCTTCTATCAATTAATTCGTGACTACTGACAAAACTATTTTTTATTTGAGATCGATTTTATATTAAATTTATTTTACAATATTTTAATAAAACTGTTTCGAATTATTTTTATAAACAAAGTCATTATAATTTATTTACATCTCTATCTATAAAAGGCAGGATGTGTGTGTGTGTGTGTGTGTGTGTGTGTGTGTGTGTGTGTGTGTGTGTGTGTGTGTGTGTGTGTGTGTGTGTGTGTGTGTGAGTAACGATTGCACGGCCGCAATCTTCGACGGATTTGCATGCACATGCTCCAAGTTAGCGGGAAGACCAAGACTGACTTTGCATTTCCCAACTCCCATCGATAATGGAAATAGCCGATTTTTTTTTCATGCTTCTACGGCAGTTTTCATGTAGTTTGTGGCCATTTTCTACTGGCCAGAGTGAGAGCCTATAGCTGGCTGCCATGGATAGACAGGAAGATTCTATTGGCCAGAGTGAGAGCCAACAGCTGACTGACACAAATGTTAACCAGCATGCTAGCATGCAAAAATAAATCGATAACTGCATTCGTCACAAGTGGGAAAAATTTAAATCTCCATGGCACTTTACTTCAATTGGCTCATTCGCTTGCTTAAACTCAACGTTGATTCTGATTCAGCAGAACTGGGTTGGGTGTGAAAAAGTATTTGTTATTAACATTCTTTTTTCATTCGGTTTTTCCAGTTATGAGTCCTTTTTTAAAGCTGATCGTTTTGTGTTCATTTTGTTTAGTTCTTTTTTCGTAACAGATTTAATGTTTAGTATAGAGCTTAGAAAAAATTCGCAGTGTGAGATAGGCAAGAAGTAAGGCATGTAGCAACATCAGCACGGCAAAGGGCACTCCTTTAAAGGCAAGGAAGGGCAAACATATTTTAAGTCAAGTGATAGTGATTGCTGTATTAGTCGTACAATTTTTGAATCAAGCACGGGCAACACCGGGCCATGCTGTTAGTAATATATATGAGACCGATTGTGTTCATATCGCTTGCTTTAATTTCTGATTCCTGACAATCCTTTCTGATTTTCATAGTAAAATTATGAATATTTTATTTTATAGTAAAATAATATTCAATATATACTAATAATAGTTCTATATTTAAATCAATTAAAAGAATGTTCTATAGAAGAACTTTACATTGCATTACTATAGTAAAATGGTCAGAAATGCATTTCTCTCATACATATTCAGTCAGTAATGTGTGTTTTAATTTTGGGCATTGGCATTTTCTTTCTGATTTCAATGCACAATATCAAGATTTAGTGTCGAACATTTTAGGTTAGATATCTCAAAATTCAATGATTAATTTTCCAACTTATCCAGAAGTATTTATTTTGGAGTTAAAGTAAGGAATTAAGCGGATGACTGCTGTTATCAAGGTATAATATATTGTAATAGATAAAGGGTTTCAATACATCCGGCGCTAAAATAGAATCATGATGTTTTATTATCTACCCAAATTCCGTCATATATATATATATATATATATATATATATATATATATATATATATATATATATATATATATATATATATATACATATATGTATATATTCATATATATATATATTTATATATATATATATATATATATATATATATATATATATATATATATATATATATATATATATACATATATGTATATATTCATATATATATATATATTTATATATACATATATATACATATATATATATATATATATATATATTGATGCATGTTTCATTAAATAATATAGACAAGTTCTGTCTATTTTAAATAAGTTCCTTTCATATTGTCTGATAAGCTTAATAACATATATATATATATGTATGTGTGTGTGTGTGTGCGTGTCTGTGTGTGCATGTGTTATGATGGGAATGGTCAGAAGTTTTTGTTTTGTTCGGCATACCTTATCAATATTACGGTTTACTGAAAGGAAAGTATAATTACCAAAAGAAATAACCTGCTATCGTTTTCAGGCTCGTCGTCCGTCGACAGAAATCCTTATTGGATTTCTTTTTTGAATGAACGATGTCTTGCATGAATGACATTATGAATGATTAATATGGGAATTATGTATAATCCAAACATCTGAAATCCATAGAATAGAAGATAAGTTGACTTGTAAGATTTCAAGAAAGAAGTCCTTAATATATCTTGTGTACAACAAAAGTGTGTATCTTTCGTTCACAAAATGGACACGGACTATATGACCACTGCTAGAATACTCTTTGTTGATGTTAAGAGTTGTTATCTTATAGCACCAAAGTGCTTCTTTTATAGCACAAACCCTTTTTATAAGCTACTACGAAAAAGTTTATATAAAGTGGCAGTAATATAGAAAAAAGCATTGATCACTTATGAGAAAAAGGATTGATCACTTATGAGAAAAAGCATTGATCACTTATGGGAAAAAGCATTGATCACTTATGGGAAAAAGCATTGATCACTTATGAGAAAAAGCATTGATCACTTATGAAAGTTATGAATTGCTTGTCAATCAAGGAGAAAATATCGTCAGAAATTGTCTGAAGTTGATTTCGGAAAAAAAGTACTTACATGCTCTGAGCTTTCAACTAGAACTCATTATACTGTTCCTCTGTCCCATGTATCATATATATCTATATATTTGACAAAAACTATCTTTACATGATATATACATGTAGAAAAGAATATAACAGAGAAGTCGGCCGTCCTCTTAAAGAGAGAAGAAAGGCGAATCTAGAATATAATGTTGCTGTTCTGTTTCCTGTAGCGTGTCAACCGTTTACAGAATGGAGCTGCATGACTGTCTATGTATAGAGAGTTCAGTCAGCTCTACTATTTAACCCATAGCTGTAAAGTGAAAGAATAGATTCATATTTTCCAAAGTGTATTTGTGCGATAATGAACGCAACGCCAACCGCAGTTTGAACTCAGTATTCCAATTTCACTTTCCGCGCCGGTAGCCACGACGCTACGAGAAGGGTACACATTAATTAACCTTCTCTAGGATGTAGACTTAACTGAAAAAAATCGAAAACAGTGAAAAAATTAAAAGAATACATTAACTTGTAGGCTGCATACATAAGCCAGTTCAAAATACATTACAGTGTGCTGTAGATTGCTTTGTTCAACAGATCTTCGACGTGATCTTCGTTTATTAAGAAAGAAACGGAAAACACCTTGGCTTAAAAATTATAGCGCAAGCGTGTTGCTGAAAACAAAAACACTTATATTACAAACTTTAACATTTGAATGTTATTGTTCCTACCGTTATTTCTTTTTCTGAGCGTTTCACAACTGGAAAAAAAGAACTTCTTTTCCAAAAGTCGTTGGCAGGAGTTAGGGTTTCGAAGCAACATGCATAACAAGAACTGAAAAACTGAGTTCACTCGGGCGAGAATTTGTGCGAATAATAATTATAGATGAAGGTGTGAGTTATCAAAACAGGGTGTTTCTTTTACGCCTGTCCCCACATACATCAAATCCATAACGCGATCTGTTCGCAAACATATTCAAGTTACACATATACTTGGATTATGGATAGTATAATTTACGGTGTCATATTAATAAATACCTGATAAAAATGTCTCTTATAGATAGATAAATAGACATATTTATAGGCTTTTGAATGTCGATTGCCAAGGCAGTCAGTCATTTAACTCTCTTTTACCGCCATGTAGTGCATTAATCTAAACTTTCTTCATTAATTTGATTTTTATGGCTTATTAACATTTTCAGGTTATTTAAAGCCAGAAAATATTTTTGAATTGTAAGAATTTTTTGGAGGTAATAATGATTTACTGATACAGGTCCTACTATTTAATAGCAGGAGCAGAAGAGGTGAATTCCTACTTTTCCCAAGGGTATTTGCGTATAAGTGAATATAATGAACCAGATTGGAATGGAACTCAGTTCTACGGTTTTCAAATGCCAGCCCTTATCCCACCCACACATCCAAGCGTACAGTACCTGGTTTTCCCAAGAAGTCACCCATCGAAGTACTGACCAGGCTCGGCATTGCTTAACTTCGATGGTCGGTGTTTCAACGTGATATCGCCGTAAGCCATAAACTAAGTTATAGAAGAGGAGATTGATAGAATTATGTATATTAGTTTCCTCCTACATCCCTAGCTATACAACCTTTTTTTATTACATGGCCTCTCACATAATACAAACTCATGTAATATAGCGTAAAGTCTCGTGGGATAAAATGTTATAAATGTGTTATTTACTTATATGTATATTTATCGGGAAAGAAGGGAAGAAAGAAACATAAAGAAACATTGTTGATTGATTTGTTTAACGGAATATCAACACTTTATGGGTCATTTAATGCCCAAATTTTTATTTTCTTGTGAGGTTTGAGGTAATAAAAATATGATAGATGTTGTTCTGCTTTCACAGTTGAATACATGGTAGATGATACTCAGCTTTTGTGCATATACATGTCTGTGTGAATGTAATTACCAGAAGTGGTATAATATGTATATTCTATATTGTAGTTTTGTCAAAGTTATATTTTGGTATACAGTTCGATTTCTTTAAGAAATTTTAGGATATTATATGGATTAATGTCATGAAAGAGTTTTTTTCATGTTGGTTGGTTTTGTTTATCAACCTCTATGGGTTATTTAATGTTGAAATGAAAATAATTTGAGCATAATTTTATGGCTTCGTCATTTTGCTTTAAAAATGTATTGTTGGCCATTTTGCTTTAAAAATGTATTGTTGGCCATTTTGCTTTAAAAATGTATTGTTGGCCATTTTGCTTTAAAAATGTATTGTTGGTCATTTTACTATAAATATGTATTGTTGGTCATTTATAATTTCATAATGTTTTCTTTTTGTTTGTGGGTTCACTATTTGCCCATAGATAGGACCCTAACAGCTTCTACCATCCCGAGTCTGGAGGGACCTGCGGACAACAGCAATTAAGAGGTGGTTTCATCTTCCTCAAAACCTTCAATGTCCCGATCAGAGACCTTGCTACCGGATGTAGTTTATTGTCATACCCAGGACTAAGATATTTTCTTTTCATCAAGAAAACGAAAGAAGTATAGCGATTTTCCAGTCGTAGCTTAGATGTGGCACAAGACTGAAACTATTCATTCGTAATTGTGTTAGCGAGACAAGCTTGCTAACCATTACACTGCCCCGAGATGTCCAAAAAATGAGAGAAATATATGTGTGAAACGTTTATTAATCTGTCAATGTTTCATTTAGATTATATCACGTGCAAGTATTACGGATAAGGAACCAAAGTAGAAAGCTTGAAAAATGAAATCTGTTATTTGTAATCTACAGTAATAAGGAAAAAATTTAAAACAGAAATAATAATGTAACGTCTGATAAGAATTCGAGACAAATTTTTCATACGTGAAACAATGATATTCGGCGGAATCAATGGTATATAGTTTCGATTATTCGAACATTCTGTCTTCTTCAGGCGTTCTATGAAACTCTCTTTCTCCCATTATATGCCTGGTTTTTATATAACTGACTGTTACCCGATCGTCCTGTAAACGTATATTCTAAGTTCAGTTGGGTTTCTTTCATTCTTTGTTAGGGTAACCCCCGACATCATTCTGTATTTGGTACATTTGCGGTTACCTATTGTATCTTTTGTCACTGTCAGGTGGCATCAAGGACTCACTATAGTATCTCTTATGGTGCACCAAATAATATTGGGGTCACGTCAGATGTTGTCTTCTTAGATCTAGGTTCCTGATGGGCATGAAATTCAATTCGCACTACCAGTATTTCCTGAACTGAATCATATGCTATAGTAAAATATTAGTTTTATAAAGTGGAAAGTGGGACCCTTTGACGTGATGCAATGATTAACAAGTTTATTACGCTAGATCAATTACGAGTGAGTTCGATCCTCACTGGGTGCTCCTTGCATTTGGCCTTGTGCTAAGGGCACTTAGAAAATTATTTAGAGCACTTCAACGTGGTGTAATGGTTACCAAGCTTTTCTCGCCATATCAATTACTACTGAGTAGAGAGTTCGATCCTCAGTAGGCGGTCCTTATGTTCGGCCTTGTGACATATCTAAGCTTCGCTTAATAAATCACTCTAGATGCTCCATACTTTTGGCCTTGTGTCACGTCCAAGCTTCGGTGAGTAAAGGGTTACAAGGTAGAAGGTAAATAGGCAGACGGGCCAGATTGATGTTTCGGATTCTCTCTCAGTATAAACCGTTTTTTTATATAATCCCTTTCTGCCCAAATTTCTCTTTCTCTGTGTGTATGTGTATATGTGTGTGTGTCTGTGTATATGTGTGTGTGTCTGTGTGTAATCTATGTATTCACATCGATTAAATAATCCTGTCAATCTGCTACTCGGATTCCTTTTTCTCTGTCTCTCTCCGTCTCTTCCATCTCCCATATCTAGGCTTCTATTTACGCTTGGCAGCCATCCTTTATGTAAATGGGGGTGGGGAATCACTTTAAAATTCCCCAACCAGAATCTCGCACACAGGTTTCTGTAAATATCACACTGAAACCATTCTGTGCTGAAATCTCCTCTGCAGTATTCAGTGAAAGCTTGAGAAGAGTAAAACTGTCAAATGAGAGCGTGATCGGTGGGGGTAGTCGATGCCCACTTTTGCGGGGATAATCATCGTATTGCCGTTTGATTATCGACCGAAAACCGAACGTCCTCGTTGCGTTCTTCGCAGCTTGAAAGTGTTGAATTATTGATTCTATTGCAGTTTACCATCAACGCTGCAGACAAAAGCTTTCGGTGGAAAGAGAGTAATTGTAGCGTTTGTTCAGACCGACACACAACTGGAAAGACCGAACAACAAACAAACTAGTTGTCAGCCTCTGGTGGAGTCAGTAAATGCATATTTATTTTGAATTCAATGAATGCCCTTCAGCATCGGTCGATTCTGTTATAAATGCAATTTACCCAAGTAATTCGGCAAAGGACACACGAGCACACACACTTGCTTGTATAAATATGCATATGCAATTTATAAATGGTACATGTATCTATTAGTATGTATGCACCTCTCTGCTAGTCATAGAGAGATTTGTTTTTTTTTTAGTAATATTTTCATGCGTATTTTTTCGTTTGAAGTAGTTCTTATTACAGTTTCAATAAAAATAATTTGTGTTATGATTCCTGAGTATTAAAATACTGTAACAAAGAAACAAACGTACATTCCCCATATACATAATGTCAGATTTTATTATGCAATTTTTAATTTTTTTTTTTTTTTTTTTTTTAATCATTTCATCACACACATGACAACAACGCCACTAGGATGCAAGGGAGGCTACCGAGTGGGAAAGGATAAATACAAGGAATGGGAGAGAACAATAAAAGAACAGGAATTCAGAAGACAAGATAACGATTGACATTGCATTTGAACTTTTGAAGATCAAATTTTACTTGAAAGCATAAAGCTGGAACATTTGCACAAACGAGAAATGCGACAGAAGAAACTATTAGCATAGAACTTACGGTTAGATCTCGTCAAATGATTAGATCTTGCCTCCAATCGAATACTGCGCTTAAATTCATAGAGTCTAGGCACCAGAGAATAATTACCATGAAAATATTTATAGAAAAAGTACAGGCAAGATGCATTATGGCGATGGAAAAAATGACTAGGGCCGAGATGCCAGGTTGGGACCATTGACATTGCAGATCTCTAAATATATAGCAGGAACACCAGACCATATACGGCAGTCATATTTGAACCATAGACGAATGGTTGACTTATAAATATGTAAGATAAATGCGGACGAGAAAATTGTCTAGCAGAACTCTTTGAACCAACTTTGGGGGTTTTATTCACAAGAAAATTGAACTACGAAAAAATTATCAGGTTATATTTTTATCCTAGTCCATAATGCCCATCTTATTAGAAACACAATAATTTATTTTATAGCGTAAGATCCTATTATTCAAACTGAGAAGGGATTATCATATTGTAAGTAAATAAACATAATAATATAATTAATGAGGTTTTTTATGGATTTCTTATATTGATGGAATATATGTTTTCTATCTTTTAATCATTTTATCCCATGCAATGAAATAAAGCCACGAAAACGCAATGGGTTACTGAGTGTGAAAGAATATGAGAAAAAGAAAAACATATAGTGTAGATAAATTTGCTTAAAATAAATAGTGTTCAAAAACTGAACTTCTTTAATCTGGCAAGAGATCTGTATGCTTAGCTGAGTAATTTCTTCATCTACAAGATGACGGACGTTTAATGGCATATCTTCAAACAGGTATTCGTGGTTCAACCCAACTAGGCCCGTTTAAATCATAAAAAATCATTTTTATAATCATTTCATATCAAGAAATGTAATAAAACCACTAAGACGCAAGAGATTGCTACGTGTGAGAGAATATGAGAAAAAGAATATTGAAAAGAGAGAAAAATAAAAGAATTGGAATTAAGAAAACAGAAGGTAAAGATTGGCATTAATTTAGATTTTTTATGCTCAAAGTTGACTGGAAAGCAAAAAACCAGAAGAGAGTTTCACAAGCAAGAAATGCGAGAGAAGGAACTGTTAGCATAGAACTTACGGTTACATCTAAACATTACAATTATAAAATGATGAGGTCAATCTAGTACTGCGCTTAAATTGCTAATATTTTAATAATATTAAAATCTGGAGAAGCTGTGGAAGCCATTACATTTTTTTTTTAAGTTTTTATGGACAACATTTTTCTTCTTCTTCTTCTTCTTCTTCTTCTCCTTCTTCTTCTTCTTCTTCTTCTTCTTCTTCTTCTTCTTCTTCTTCTTCTTCTTCTTTGGGCGATTAACTTTGATTGTTCTGTCTCTGTTTATTTTAATATTATTATTTTATCCTTATTATTATTATTATTATTATTATTTTCTTTGATTTCTGGTGTTTACACATTTCTTTCCGCGTCCCGCCCAGGGACCTAAGTTTAGAAATGGCATCATGACACTTTCCACTGACAAAGAAAAAAAAATTAAATAGATAAAGCCCTTCGTAAAGTGTGGGCTGTACTTGTCAGAACAATTTTTTGTATCTCCTTGAGGCATGGATTTCCAGGAATCCCTTCAA